GAACCCACGTGTTTTCACGGCTGTCCCGCGCTGGGGTGTTAGGAACCCACGCGTTCCCACGCATGTCCCGCTCTTGGACGTTAGGAACCCATGTGTTTTCACGCCTTTCCCGCTCTGGGGCGTTAGGAACCCACGTGTCTTCGGGACAACCCACAATGCCTCCTAGACGCCCCCCCGAGCCCCAAGATGTCCCCCAAGAACCCAACGAAGCAAAATGTTCCGAATCCCTTTGGGCCGATGTGGAGGCCCCAAGAAGGCCTCCAGAAAACACCAAGAGCCAACCAAAAGGACCCGAAAAGGCGCCCTAGAAGGCCTCACAAGCAAAACGCGGCAACCGCGAGTTCCCCAACGGGTCGGCGGTGTGGCGTCAGCCTGAGAATCCACGTCCGGAAGTGACGTGCTGAGCGGCAGCGTTTTCCGCGGATGCTGTAAAGCAGTGGATCCAATGTGTCCAATGTTTGCATGATTCCCACATGCTGTATTTTGTTACATTATTATGTCTCCCCCCTAACCCCCCCCAGCAGTCGCGCCACATGAACGGACCAAGATGCCCCCCCCCCTTCCGGGGCCATAAAAACCGACAAACACCTATGACAAATCAACCAATTCAACCTCTTGGGCCTCTTGGGGCTCCAAAAGGGCCTCAAGATGGCCCAAGATGGCACCCAATACGGCCCCAAGACGGCCCAAGATATTCCCAACGGGGGCCCATGAGGCCCCCAAGACGGCCCCAAAAGCTCCAAGGACGGCAAAAGAAGGCCCCCAAAGCGCCCACAACTGCGCCTCCAGAGGCCGAACATATTGATTTTCCGATGGTTTCTGCAAAATGTTTGCGTTCTCGTCTTTTCCGACTTTCAACTATCCATGACGGCCCAAGCAGCTTCCAGAATCGCCGCAAAACAAACCCCCCAAAAAAACCCAGGAGGGGTCCAAGACGGCCCAGGAGGGCTCCAAAACGGCCAAAGGAGGCCCCCAAGACGGTCCAAGAGGCCGCGAAGACGGCCCTAGAGGACCCCAAGAGGACTCCAATGCGGCCGCGAGAGGCCCCCAAGACAGCCTCCGAGGGGGCGAAACGGCGCAAAAGCGCCAAGACGGCCGAAGACGCCCCGAAAAGGCCCCAAGAGGCCCCCAAGAGGCCCCCAAGAAGCCCCCCAGAAGCTTCCAAAAGGCCCCCAAAAAGCCCCCCAAAGGCCACACAGCGACTGAAGTCTAATGTCATTTCCCCCCCTCTGGGCGAACTGCGGCGCAGCGCCAGCCAGGTGGAAGTTGGTCACTGCGGCGCCCATGGTTATAGCCGGCGCTGGAAGGGAAGATGGGGAGGGTGTATGAAAAGGAGGGGGGAAAGGCCCCAAAGAAGCTCCCAGGAGGCCTCCAGGAGGCCCCCAAGAGGCTCCCAAGAGGCCCCGCGACGACGTGACTGTACGTGCTCTGGACGTGCACCCCGCGAAGCGAGAGGAATCCACGTCCGGAGGTGACGTGCTGAGCGGTATTTTCGGCGAGCGCCTTAATGCAACGTATCCAATGTATCCAATGATTGCATAATTGCCACATGTTGTACTGTGTTACGTTATAATGCCTCCCCCCCCTACCCCCCCTCTGGGAACCGAGCCACAGCGCCGTACCAAACTGGTCGGCCCTCCTTCTGGGGTCCCAAACATACAAAAACCTATGAAAAATAAACAAATTCGGCCTCTCGGGCCTCTGGGGACCCCAAGAGGGCCTCAAGATGGCCCCAAGACGGCCCAAGACGGCCCAAAAACGGCCCAAGATATTCCCAACGGGAGGCCATGAGGCCCCCAAAACGGCCCCAAGAGGGCCCCAAAAGCCCCAAGGACGGCCCAAAAGGGCCCCAAGAGCGCCCACAACTGCGCCTCCAGAGGCCGAACATATTGATTGTCCTATGGTTTTTGTAGTACGTCAGCGTTCTCGCCATTTTCGATTTTCAAAAATCCATGACGGCCCAAGCAGCTTCCAGAATCGCCCCGGAACAACCCAAAAAACCCCCAAGAGGGCCCCAAGACGGCCCAAGAGGGCCCCGAAACGGCCCAAAGAGGCCCCCAAGACGGTCCAAGAGGCCGTGAAGGTGGCCCAAGAGGACCCCAAGAAAGCTCCAATGCGGCCGCGAGAGGCAGCCAAGACAGCCTCCGAGGGGGCGAAACGGCGCAAAAGCGCCCCAAGGCGGCCCAAGACGCCCCCAAGAGGCCCCAAGAGGCCCCCAAGAAGCCTCCAAAAAGTCCCCCGGAAGCCCCCAAAAAGGCCCCCCAAAAAGCCCCCCAAAGGCCACACAGCGACTGGAGTGTAATGTTATTTTCCCCCCTCTGGGCGAACTGCGGCGCAGCGCCAGCCAGGTGGAAGCTGGTCACTGCGGCGCCCATGGCCCATGATTAGAGCCGGCGCTGGAAGGGAAGATGGGGAGGGTGCATGAAAAGGAGGGAGGTGGGAAAGGCCCCACAGAAGTCCCCAAGAGGCCAAAAGAAGCTCCCAGGAGGCCTCCAGGAGGCCCCCAAGAGGCTCCCAAGAGGCCCCGCGACGACTTGACTGCACGTGCTCCGGACGTGCACCCCGCGAAACGAGAGGAATCCCTTAATCGTTCCCCGGGTCCGGTTTTTTAAGGCGCCTTTTTTTGTAGCTGGGGCTGGGGGGGTCCGGTTTATCAGCTAGGGCGCTTTCTCTGGATTGGGGCTTAGAAGGTCCGTTTTATCAAGGCGCCCCGTCGAAGAGGGGTGTTCTGGAATATCAGGTCGCATTTGGAGGGGGGTCCGGATTTTTTGGGGGGGTCGATGAATAAGGGATTTGGAGTAGGCCCGGGTCATCCCTCACGCTGCGTAGCGTACACGTCGGCCGGAAGAAGTAAGTAAAACACATGAAGTAGGAAGGCGGATACAGTAGATTGGATTCAGGTCCCCCCAGAGAACAACAACACATAGCAAAAGCATACCGATTATTGAAGTAGGAAGGCGCTTGAAGTAGATTGGTGTCTGGGAATCAAACAAATCCCTAGTTTCAACGACCGGCATGTACTTGGCTGGGTGTGCTGGGTGTTCGGCCGATGCCCGATGAGAGGACGCCCCGTGGGCGCCTCGTGCTGGGCGGAGGTGTGCCGGGATGTCGCCGCGTGCCCGCCCGTGGGGGTGCACCCCGGGGGCGGAGCAGGAGGGCACGCCCGACCCTCGCAGTCGCAGGTGCACTCCCAAGGTTTCGGGGGCGCGCAGACATGGACTATCGGTCCATGGCTGTGGTGCGCGGTCGCCAAATCCATAGATCGGGGGAGGTGCCCTTCCCAAAAATGCGGCCAGTGCCGCCTCGTGCGGCGGCGGAAAGCCGCGGTTCCCCATGGAAGCGGGACCCGTCGCCAATCCACGAGCCCTTGATCCATGTTTGCGATCCCCTGAACGTTGGGGAGACCAAATTGTACCGATGCCGCTGCTCCCCCGACCTCTCCCTGGGTGCGTTCTGACCACGATTTCAAAGCGAATCAAACGGTGGCGACGAGGGCCTCCTCGGAAATGTGGCGGAAGCAGGGGGATCCTATCGCCGAGGCGCCTGCGACGATGCGTGCGGGTGCTCGGCATGGAGCTGCGTAGGTGCTCGAGCAGTGACTCGCGGAGCGCCTCGTGCACTTGGGCGCTGGTGTGGCCGCTGGGCGGCGGGTGGGGGGTCGGCTCTGCCGCAGCGGGAGGAGAGGAGACGTCGAGCTCTCGCTCCGCCCAGAGAGGCCCCAAGAGCCCCGCGGCCCAAGGGCCCAAGCGGGCCCCAAGAGCGGCCCAACGGAAACACGAACTGACATCGCAAGTCTTTCCCGCCGCGATGGCCCCAACAGCCCCCCCCCAGGCGCCCCGCGGGGGGCCCGAGAGGCTGCCGAGAGGCACCCAGCCCAAAGGCTCCCGCGAGGCCCCCGGAGAAACGGTGGGCTTCTTCCCTGCGTGCTGCGCGGGCCGTGCCGATTTTGTTCGGTTCACGCGCGCAGGCAGGCCCGTCGCGTCCCGACGCTGCGCGGCGGGCCCCGTCGCGGACTTTTTTTCTTCGGTGATACCAGGTCTCGGCTACATCCGGTCGGGATCTGATATCTAGTTGAAAAGAATGGAATATAGGCGTAGACATTTACACGTAGACATTTACAAGCAAATGCACTGCGCGCGCCCGAGAATCAAGGTGAACTCTCGCACGACTCAACCCTTTCCTGGTGATAATTGTCTTTCCTGGGTAACGGTCGTTGCCCAAGGGGGGGGGCCTGGGCGGCAGGGTAACGGTAACGGCGGCCGCGGCGTGCAACCGCCAGGGTGCGTCCGCGCCGCCGGCGCATCAGTGGCCTGTGTGTACCATAGCATGTTCTTCGACCAGAAGAGGTGCGCTCTCGACCCGCGAATCAAACAAGTACCATAGCATGTTGGAGGGATTCCAAGCCCCCCCCCCAATACGGACGTCAGCGTTACCCGGGGCCGCGCGGCGTGGCCCAGGTCACGAGCGCTACCCTGGGGAGCTTGGAGAACAACGCTCACCCGGCTCCCTGGCAGCCCCAAGACGATGCCGCGGTACCCCCGAGGTTGCTCCGCAGGGCCCGCGGAGAACCTTTGGCCAGGCAGGGCCACGAGGGCGGCCCAGAAGCGGCGCCGAGGGTCGGCCCCAATAGACCATGGTAGGCATGAGCAGGATCGAGTCGCGAATCCGGATCGGATCGACAACATATCGGGTCGCCAACGAGTCGTCCTGACTCGAGTCGAAACTGGATCGCCGCGCTCGGTTTCGGCCAGACCCTGCAGATGCAAGTGACATCGAACCAAAACGAAGCGGCATGGAAGTCCGACAGGCGATGCTACAACCCGCTCGTCACACACACACATACACACACACACAAAAACAAACACACACACACACACGCACGCACGCACGCACGCACGCACGCACGCACGCACATACGCACACACACACACCGTGTATCATCAGGCTATGTGGCAAACAAAAAAAAGGGGTCGGCGTATGTAGCGCGAACCTTAAGAATCAATGTGTACCTGCAGCTGCGACTCGAACGAGCTGACGTTCACTGTGTCCAGGGACGCCTTCATAGTGGCCGCATCATCGTAATCCTCCGAAGCATGAGTGGGTACGTCGACGCTGTGCCCCACCGTAAGGGAACCGCTGGAGAGTCTGCGGAGCACGGCCCCAAATCTCCGAGCATCCGCGAACCAGGCAGAGACGTAGCTCGCAGGTGTCCCAACAACACCAGCGACTGTATGACTGACGGCATCCAGCACCTTGTCTGAGTGCGGACCAGTCAATACGGCCTGGGGGTCTTCAAAAGAGAGTTCAATCAATCCGACTAGCCTCTGCTGCGCGAGGGTGTTTCCGAGGTCATCGGCAACTGTCGCAGTGGCCTCTTCGTCCGTGGAAGTCGCATCCTCAGTGGGGAAGGCAGTGAGGGGTCCAGTCGTCTCCACCTCCGTGGTGCCATCCTCGAACGTTGTCGCAGTAGTCACTCCAACGTTCTCAACACCGGTTGTGGTCGCCTCCTCGCCAGGAAACTTAGCAGGGGCTCCTGTGGTGTCCAACGGAACCTCAAACGTCTCCACGTCGGTGGTGGTTACCAGAGTCGGAGATGGCGCGGAAGTGCAATCTGGTGGCGATGGACAATCTACGAGTCCGTAGGATGCAGCATCCTCAAATGATGCGCCGAACCCGTCGGTATATCCTAGCTGGGCGCAGGTTACATCACTGCCCTCGACGGCTTCGTCTGGGTCAGACCATGTACCAGAAAGGTACGCCTGAAGCTCCCCCAGCAGATTGGCGAGAGCCTGGTTGAACACGCCCATTCCAGTTGCCGTCCACGTGCAATACTCGAGCGTCTGCGTCGCCTGTGTGGTGCCGAACTCCTGCGCAGTGTCTTGGTCTTGTGTGGTGTCCGGCTCTGGCGTCGTCGGAGCCTCGGTTGCTGTGGCAACCACCTCAGTGGTCTTCGCGTAGGTGGTGGCTCCATCCTCGCCTGGTAGCACAGTCGGGGCTCCAGTGGTCTCCACGTCCACCTCAAACGTCTCCACGTCCGTGGTAGTCACCACATCGCCAGGTGACACAGTAGGGACTCCAGTGGTCTTCACCTCCATCGTGCCCTCCTCTGTTGCTGTCGCAGTGTCCGCCTCAGACGTCGCAACTTGGGTGGAAGACACCTCCTTGCCGAGGCTTGTGCTGGAGAGTGCGTCGGTGGTAACCGATGTGCTAGTCAGAGTGGGGGTGATATTAACTTGTGACGTTGAACTAGTGCTTGCAATGATGGTTACACTCGTCGTGATGCCCATCACACCAACGGAGTACACCCCGTCGCCGGCATGCGAATCCGCCGCCCCCTCTGAGACAACAGGTGTATGTATGTATGTTATCGCTTGCCGTCCCCAAGCAGCTCCCCCAAACCAGAAATCGAATGTGTGGACAAGGGGGTTGCCATAGAGGGCTCTTTTTGCTTTAGAATGCTTCGAGCCAAACTCCCACCAAAAGATCCCCAGAAAACCCAAGCCGTACACAAGTAGACGTGCAGGGTCCAGCAGAATGGCCGCAAAGCGCTGTGCATCAATGTTCGCCTGCAGCAGCGATTCGAACGAACTGAAATCTACACTATCAATGGACTCCTTCATGGTATGGGCATCCGGATAATCACCCGATACAGCAATGGGCACATCGACGCTGTACTCGACAGTGATGAGCGTGGCGGCGTTTGTCCAGGTGCTGCTTTGAGAATGACTTGTGCTGGTGAACGTCATCGTGAATCTGCGCGGCGAGACCCCACGACTCCGAGAGACTGCGAACCATGCGAAGACGAAGCTCGCGGGCACCTCGACAATTCTGGCGACGGTCTGACCAACTGCAGTCAGCACTTCTTTAGGGTAACGCACAATGACATAAACATAAGAACTCGGAGGTCCGCGCGGATTTCTCGAATCGGCGCTGGACCCCCCAGGGCGGAGCCTCTGGCGCCGCCCCTGGCGCGCTCCGCGCGCCAGGGAGGGGGGCAAGGAGGGGGGTCCAGCGCCGATCCGAGAAATACGCGCGGACCTCCGAATTTTTATGCTCATCCCACTGTTCGCTCCCCTATTCTTTCGAGTGCGGACCGGCCAGGACAGCCCCTGGCCCCTCGAAGGCGAGCGCGAGAGACCCCCGGAGGCTCTGCGGGGCGACCGTGTCGCCGCCGCCATCCACAGCACCGCCTCCGCTCGTGCTCGTGCGGGACACCTCGGACATCGCAGCCCCGGGCGTGGTGGTCCAGGAGGCGACCGTGGCATCGGACGACGTCGCAGTCGATGTGATCCGCCACCGTTGGAGGAACGAGCAATGGCAGAAGCATGAAAACTCGGAGGTCCGCGCGGAGTCGGATCGGCGCTGGGGCCCCCAGGGCGGCGCCTCCGGCGCAGCCCCCAGCGCGCTCCGCGCGCCAGGGAGGGAGGTCCAGCTCCAATCCGAGAAGTCCGCGCGGACCTCCGAGTTTTTGTGTATGCCACTTCTTGTTTCCCGAACTGTGCCCCCTGGCACGCTGAGGCACGTTCGAACGCCGACTGCTGCCTGGTGGGACTTCCGAAATCTTCTGAGGCCCCGCCACCCACAATTGGACCTGGGAATCGGTCGGGCCTGCCCCCCTACAGGGGGATTTTGGGCGAAAAACAAAAAACTCAAACAAATAATCAAGAATATGCAAAATACTAAAAGATCGTCCCCAGACTGCTTTTACTATTTTTGAATATCCCCCCTGTAGAAGGACAGGCCCGACTTAAACCTGGGACAGAAGAACATCCGTCAAGAGCTCGAGACCCTCCGCCGGCAGAAACACGCAGAACGTTCAAGGGTACCCTCCTCAGGATCCGCAAGAGCATCCAACGAACACGAATGACATTACAGTTAGGTCGGGCCTGTCCCCCTCATGACAAATAGTCAAAGCAGATTCAAACATATTTAAACAAAAGGTCAAAACATCGTCCCCCGACTATGTTTGTGCTATTTTTGAATATTCCTCCTGTAGGTGGACAGGCCCGACTTCAGATTTCAGTCAACTCGCATCACAAGGATGCGCGATGAGGATGCAAGGGCCCTGGACGCCGATTTCCAAGCTTTTCGAGCGTAGCGCGGCCAACGACAGTGGCCAAGGATGGACCGAGGAGGCAGGGGAAGGCTGCCCATCCTTTTTATGCGGCTTGACTGTACGTAGCCGAGATGGAAACAAAAACACGGCTCTTGGAGAAGCCGTGCGGACATCTCGGGCGAAACGGTGGCTGCCGGACCGAGCGGTCTTGGGCTCCCCGCCGCCCCCCTGTGTGGGGCGTATCTGTTTTTGTTCCCCAATCGGTGCTTGCACTGAAGGGGTCCTAGCGGAAATTGAAAGATTTAGCGAAAATTTCACGCCGGTTTTGGTGGCCGGCTGGGTCCCCGGGTTCCCGGTTCTGGGTTCCCGGGTTCCTGGTCACTGGTTCCGGTCCGATGTCGGTGGGTTCTGGTGCATTTTTTCTCCACTCGTGGAACTCTCTGGCGAGAATCCCCGAACCGACCTCGATCTCATACCTAGGGCCGGCTTTCTTGGACACGCCACGCCGCGTGCATTGACTCCCCCCCCCCATCCGAGGCTTCCTGGCAGCCCAGGCGCCTCCCTGGGGGGTTTTCGCAGAGGCTCGCTTTTGGGTGACCGAAAAGGGGGTCCAGCTGCAAGGGGTCGGTGCAATAGATTCGGGGCAAGTGTATTGCAAATGCGTTGCGCGCGAAAATCCAGAAATACACTTGCGCCCCGAGATGTATTGCACGACCCAAACGTATTGCAACCGTTTCATGCTTTCGTCAACCAAAGACGGCCTTCAAGATGGCCCAAGGCGGCCCAAGAGGCCCCAAACCGGGCCTAAGTACGGCCCCATATGTCATCGAGATGGCCCAATGGGCCTCCAAGAAGACCCAAGGATGCCCCAAGATTGCCGAAGAGACCCCCAACACCCCCGAAAGCAACCTGTCAGGCCACTAAGGGGGCCCCAAAACCGCCCAGAGATGCGCCCAAGACGGACTTCGAAAGCACTAGAATGCCGAAGAGCTCCCTAAGGCGGTCCAGCGAGGCCACCAACACGTCTTCAACAGACCCCAAGCGAGGAGGCGGGAAGAAGAGGAAGGGAAAAAAAAACAACGACAAACGCGAGGGCAGACACCCCGACACGGCGCGCAAGAGCGTGTCATAGTTCACGGCTCTCCCAATTCTCGGGACACGAGGCGTCGCACTTTATGGCTGCATGTGAGCTTCTTGAACAATCAACACCCAAGGCGCTGGGCTGGAGCGGAAGCGGGACTTGTCGCAGGCAGATGGATAATGCTTGTCTGGCTTGTGCTGGTGAGTGTGGTGGTGCTCGACGCAGCACTGGAGGCAGTGAGTGATGTTGAGCTGATGCTCGAGACATCGACTACACTCGCTGTGATCCCCACTACAACCAGGAAGTACACGCCGTCGCCCACTTCCGAATCAATACTGGCCTGCAGCAGCGACGTGAACGAGCTAAGGTCCACATTGTTCATGGACTCCTCCATGGTGGCCACGTCTGGATAATCGGCTGATGCGTCAACAGGTACGTCGACGCCGTACTCCACCGTGATGGGCGTGGCAGTGCTTGTCGAGGTGCTGGTCTGCGTGTGGCTCGTGCTGGTGAACGTCATCGTGAATCTGCGCACGACAGCCCCACGCCGACGAGCATTCGCGAACCAGACAGACACGTAGCTCGCGGGCACACCAACGACACCAGCGACTGTCTGACCGATGGCGTTCAGAACATGTTCCGAGTGTGGTCCAGTCAAGACAGCCTCAGGATCCCTGACAGAGAGCGCGATTGATCCCAATAGGCTCTGCTGCGCGAGTGCGTCGCCGATGTCATCCACAACACCTCCCTGGCTAGTGCTTGTCTGGGACACGTCGAAGATCGTAGTACCGGGCGTAGTGGTCCAAAAGCTGGAAGTGGCCTCGGACGACGTCACAGTCGATGTGATATTGCTTGTCTGGCTCGTGCTGGTGAGCGTGGTGGTGCTGGACGCGGTCATGGAGGTAGTCTGTGATACTGAGCTGGTGCTCGAAACATCGACTACACTCGCAGTGATTCCCACTACAACAAAGGAATACACGCCGTCGCCCACTTCCGAGTCAATACTGGCCTGCAGCAGCGACGTGAACGAGCTAAGGTCCACATGCTCCATGGACTCCTTCATGGTGGCCACGTCTGGATAATCGCCCGATGCATCAACAGGTGCGTCGACGCCGTACTCCACCGTGATGGGCGTGGCAGTGCTTGTCGAGGTGCTGGTCTGCGTGTGGCTCGTGCTGGTGAAAGTCATCGTGAATCTGCGCACGACAGCCCCACGCCGACGAGCATTCGCGAACCAGACAGACACGTAGCTCGCGGGCACACCAACGACACCAGCGACTGTCTGACCGATGGCGTTCAGAACATGTTCCGAGTGTGGTCCAGTCAAGACAGCCTCAGGATCCCTGACAGAGAGCGCGATTGATCCCAATAGGCTCTGCTGCGCGAGTGCGTCGCCGATGTCATCCACAACACCTCCCTGGCCAGTGCTCGTCTGGGACACGTCGGGCATCGTAGCTCCTGTCATTGTGGTCTCAAAGGTGGATGTGGTCCCGGACGACGTCACAGTCGATGTGATAGTGCTTGTCTGGCTCGTGCTTGTGAGCGTGGTGGTGCTCGACGCAGCACTGGAGGCAGTGAGTGATGTTGGGCTAATGCTCGAGACATCGACTACACTCGCAGTGATTCCCACTACAACAAAGGAGTACACGCCGTCGCCCACGTCCGAATCAATACTGGCCTGCAGCAGCGACGTGAACGAGCTAAGGTCCACATGCTCCATGGACTCCTTCATGGCGGCCACGTCTGGATAATCGCCCGATGCATCAACAGGTACGTCGACGCCGTACTCCACCGTGATGGGCGTGGCAGTGCTTGTCGAGGTGCTGGTCTGCGTGTGGCTCGTGCTGGTGAACGTCATCGTGAATCTGCGCACGACAGCCCCACGCCGACGAGCATTCGCGAACCAGACAGACACGTAGCTCGCGGGCGCACCAACGACACCAGCGACTGTCTGACCGATGGCGTTCAGAACATGTTCCGAGTGTGGGCCAGTCAAGACAGCCTCAGGATCCCTGACAGAGAGCGCGATTGATCCCAAGAGGGTCTGCTGCGCGAGTGCGTCGCCGATGTCATCCACAACACCTCCCTGGCGAGTGCTCGTCTGGGACACGTCGAAGATCGCAGTACCAGGCGTAGTGGTCCAAAAGGTGGAAGTGGCCTCGGACGACGTCACAGTCGATGTGATAGTGCTTGTCTGGCTCGTGCTGGTGAGCGTGGTGGTGCTCGACGCGGTCATGGAGGTAGTCTGTGATACTGAGCTGGTGCTCGAATCATCGACTGCACTCGCAATGATTCCCACTACAACAAAGGAGTACACGCCGTCGCCCACTTCCGAGTCAATACTGGCCTGCAGCAGCGACGTGAACGAGCTAAGGTCCACATGCTCCATGGACTCCTTCATGGTGGCCACGTCTGGATAATCGCCCGATGCATCAACAGGTACGTCGACGCCGTACTCCACCGTGATGGGCGTGGCAGTGCTTGTCGAGGTGCTGGTCTGCGTGTGGCTCGTGCTGGTGAAAGTCATCGTGAATCTGCGTACGACAGCCCCAAGGCGACGAGCATTCGCGAACCAGACAGACACGTAGCTCGCGGGCACACCAACGACACCAGCGACTGTCTGACCGATGGCGTTCAGAACATGTTCCGAGTGTGGTCCAGTCAAGACAGCCTCAGGATCCCTGACAGAGAGCGCGATTGATCCCAAGAGTGCTCTGCTGCGGCGAGTGTCGTCCGCCAAAAGTCATCACAGCACCTGTCCTGGCTAGTTGGCCGTCTGGGACGCGTCGAAGATGAGTAAAAAGTAATAAAAAAATATATAAATAAGACATAAATAAAAAAAAAAAAGAAATAAAAACAAGATAAAAGTAGTAGAAGAAAAAAAAACACAAAGATAAAAATATAAGAAAACAAAAAATTAAGAAAAAGACAAGAAGAAAAAAAAAGTAGTAAACTTACGTGCCTGCCAAGAGGCGTAGTGTCCAAAAGCTGGAAGTGGCCCCCTCGGACGACGTCCACCGTCGATGTATATTGCTTGTCTGCTCGTGCTGGTCTTGTCGGTGGTGCTCGGACGCGCGGGCTGAGGTAGTCCTCCTGTGCTACTGAGCTGGTGCTCGAAACATCGACTGCAACTCGCAGTGAATTCCAGCTACCACAAAGGAACTACACGCCCCGTCGCCCACTTCCGAGTCAATACTGGCCTGCAGCAGCGACGTGAACGAGCTAAGGTCCACATGCTCCATGGACTCCTTCATGGTGGCCACGTCTGGATAATCGCCCGATGCATCAACAGGTGCGTCGACGCCGTACTCCACCGTGATGGGCGTGGCAGTGCTTGTCGAGGTGCTGGTCTGCGTGTGGCTCGTGCTGGTGAACGTCATCGTGAATCTGCGCACGACAGCCCCACGCCGACGAGCATTCGCGAACCAGACAGACACGTAGCTCGCGGGCACACCAACGACACCAGCGACTGTCTGACCGATGGCGTTCAGAACATGTTCCGAATGTGGGCCAGTCAAGACAGCCTCAGGATCCCTGACAGAGAGCACGATTGATCCCAAGAGGCTCTGCTGCGCGAGTGCGTCACCGATGTCATCCACAACACCTCCCTGGCTAGTGCTCGTCTGGGACACATCAAAGATCGTAGAACCAGGCGTAGTGGTCCAAAAGGTGGATGTGGCCTCGAACGAAGTCACTCTCGATGAAATAGTGCGTGTCTGGCTCGTAATGGTGAGCGTGGTGGTGCTGGACGCGGTCATGGAGGTAGTCTGTGATACTGAGCTGGTGCTCGAAACATCGACTGCACTCGCAGTGATTCCCACTACAACAAAGGAGTACACGCCGTCGCCCACTTCCGAGTCAATACTGGCCTGCAGCAGCGACGTGAACGAGCTCAGGTCCACATTGTTCATGGACTCCTTCATGGTGGCCACGTCTGGATAATCGGCCGATGCATCAACAGGCACGTCGACGCCGTACTCCACCGTGATGGGCGTGGCAGTACTTGTCGAGGTGCTGGTCTGCGTGTGGCTCGTGCTGGTGAACGTCATCGTGAATCTGCGCACGACAGCCCCACGCCGACGAGCATTCGCGAACCAGACAGACACGTAGCTCGCGGGCACACCAACGACACCAGCGACTGTCTGACCGATGGCGTTCAGAACATGTTCCGAATGTGGGCCAGTCAAGACAGCCTCTGGATTCTCAAAAGTGAGCGCGATCGACCCCACCAAGCTCTGATGCGCGAGTGCGTCGCCGACATCACCCACAGCACCTGGTTGGGTCGTGCTGCGAAACACAATGGCAGCACCGCGAACAATCACGACCGGAACCCTGGACCCCATCATTCTGCAGCATTCTTCGAATCGGATCGACCCGCCACGGTCCCAGGGCAGGGAGCCCATCATCGAATCGATAAGTCGGATCGGCGATCGAAATGAATCGGATCGGCGGAAATCGGCAGCCAACTCATCAAAAGTCGAATCGGCGGACATCGGCAGGCTGGCATGCCTCCAAGAATAAGTCGGAACCCAAATCGGAATCCCAAATCGAATCGAATCGGAGTCGGAAACCATCGAAATCGAACCGAATCGAAACGGAAGAATCGGAGCGAGCCCGGCGGGGGCCCGAAACACTGGGCCCAAACGCCCGGCGTGAGAACATTGCACGCCGGGCGCGGCAGCACCCGACGCAGTGGTCCCAGGGGCGGCAGTGCCAGGCGTCGCGGTCGATGAGATCGTGCCAAACTGGCTCGTGCTGGTGGGCGAGGAGGTGCTCGCCGCGGACCTCCCGGTGAGCGTGCCGGCAGTGCTGGAGCCCGTGGTGCTCGTGGAGGTCGGAGCGGCGGAGGTTCCTCTGCGGCCGGGCGGGGGGGCCGCGGCCGGGAGCGGAGCAGAAGGGGAGGGGGGAGGAGGAGCAGCAGCGACTGCCCAGCTCCGCCTCTCATCTCCCCGCGCTTCTCTGCCCACCTACCGTGCACCGGTTTCCTCCCCACACGCGGCTCGCTCCGAGGCGCCCGCTGCGGAGCGGAGCGGGCAGGAGGGAGGCGGGGTGGAGAGCGAGGGGGTCGGTCGGGGGGAGGGGATCGGAGGAGCGGGAGGGGGGGGGCCGAGGAAGGGTCAGGGGAGAGCGGGGGAGGTGAGGAATGGCGGGGGGGGAGTGGCAGGCGGGGGGGGAACGCGGAGCCGAGGCGTTCTGACAGGGGAACTGGCGCAGCGGGAGGAGCACGGTACTGTGGTGGGGTGGTTCGTGGGGGGGAGGGGGAAGGCAGGGCGAAGCGGGGAATGCGAGAAAGGAGGGAGAGTGGGAGGGAGGAATGTGAGAAAGGAGGGAACGCGGGCCAAAGCGTTCTGGTAGGGGGGGAGGATGGGAGGGGCGGGAAGGGGCGGGGGATGGGAAGTGGCAAGGCAAACAAAAAGAAAACAGAAGAGTGGGAAGGATAGAGAGAGAACAAGGGAGGAAGTCGAGGTCAGAGGAAAAAAAGAGGGGACGGAAGGGGGGAGTGAACGGGAGGACTGGAGAAATTGCAGGGGGAGGGGGGGGTGGATGGGGTGGGCACGGACGAGGGGGAGGTGGGGGGGAAGAAAAGCCAGATGCGACACAGATGGAAGGGTAAGAACATCATGGAGGACAAGTGCACGGGAGGTCTCCTGTGCTCGTTCTGCTGGTTGCTGTCTCGGTAATAGATGTCACGCTTCGCGTAGTCGTGGTGGCGGTGACGATCTTAATATCTGGCTGCGTGACATACAACGAATCATCATCCATTCCAAGTCCCTCTGATTCAAACGCTGCCTGCAGGTCCTTTGCAGTGCCAGTGGGGTCCACACTGATGTTCTCCTCGGAAGGTGCCGTATCAGGGGGAAAGGTATTTGGCGGCTGGGGCTCAAATCACCACAAGAAAATGTCACACCTTGTTTCGATGGCACTTTGAGGCTGCGCGTCCACAACGCCCATATTCACAACAAACGCACACTAGTGATAATGGGAAGCCCACAAAAGACGTACGCGCCCAACTATGTACATGAACACGGCCCCTTGATCCGCGAGACCTGCCGCGTGATACGAATATTCGCGCACTGCGAACTCTCGAAATCAGAGTGGATTCATATACGAATACGTCCTTCCTTCGCTCCTGAGATAAGGCGTGTGAGATGTCCGGCTCTCCCTCTCCCCTTGCTTCCCGTGCCTGGGGGTCCAACATCTCGTCAGAGGTTGGATGGGGCTAGGAGGCAACTCTTGGGAGGTACTCATAAGGCATCTAAGCAACTATCGAACTAGCTTAAGGCGCCATAGATCCAATGACACATGGATCCGGCCGAGGGTATGAGGCAGGACAGAGCCATATTAGAACCACCTTAACCTGGATTAGGCGGGATCTAAAGGAATTAGTCAGGCGCCGGGTTCGGCCTGTTTTCGACCAAGGATATACCATCGCCGATGCTGAGTTTAGCCTCACAGGAGTTGCATACTAAGAGGCGAGGTGCGGCGGGAATGCGGGGCCCAGCTGAGCGCAGCTTCGTACCTCCATAGCCCCAAGATGCAGTCAAAACTGATCGCCAAGCCCAATGGGTCCCAGAAATTGCCCAATACAGCCGAAAAGTGCACCAGGGTGTCCTCGACGACTGCCCCAAATGGCCCGAGACTGCCTCCACGATAAGCGCAGGAGACCTCGAAATGATCCCGCCAAGAATCCCGAGGTGGCACACTTCGTTGAAACGAACCGGGCCCAGTATGTTCTTTACAGTCCAGTAGATGTCTATATGTGTAGATCGTATGTTGTATTTAATCGCTTCGCTCATTCCGCCGGCCCGTATTGTGCCCTCGCTGGCGTTTGGGCTTTTGGGGGCCTTTGGGGGTCCTCGTTGGGGGTTTCTTGGGGGCCTCTTGGGTTTCTGTTGTAGCCTCTTTGGGGTTCCTTGGAGCTCCTTTGGGAGCATTTGGGAGCATCTTGGGGCTTTGGGCGCCGCTTGGGGCCGAGGGCTCTATATGTCCGTTCCTGTTCCCACTTTGGGGCCATCTTGGGCCGTGTCGGAGGCCTCTTGGGCGGTCTCACCCTGTTGGGGCACAAAGCTCAAGTTTTCGGTTCGTGGTCCCTCTCTTGGGCCCCTCTTGGGGCCGTCTTGGGGCTCTCTTGGGCCGTCTTGGTGCCTCTTGGGCCGTCTCGGGGCCTTCTTGGGCCGTCTTGGGGCCTTCTTGGGGCCTTCTTGGGGGCCTCTTGCGCTGTCTTGGGGCGCTGGGGGCCTCTTGGGCCGTCTTGGAGCGTCGGAAACGCGAAAAGGCGAGGAAGCCAAAAACCTTCAAACACCTAAGAAAATCACTGATTTTTGTATCTTGGGGCTCCGTTTTGGAGCGTTTTGGGGTCTCTTTCGGGCCTCTTGGCGCCTCTTGGGGCCTCTTGGGGGCCTCTTGGGGCGTCCTGGATGCCTCTTGTAGCAGAAGGCTTGGATTTTCGGTTCGTGGTCTCCATCTTGGGCTCCTCTTGGGGCCCTGTTGGGCCGTCTTGGGGCTCTCTTGGGCGGTCTTGAAGCTCTCTTGGGCGGTCTTTGGGCTCTCTTGGGGGCCTGTTGGGCCGTCTTGGGGGCTTCTTGGGGGCCTCTTGGGCCGTCTTGGAGTGTCGGAAACACGAAAAGGCGAGGAAGCCAAAAACCTTCAGAAGCCGAATGAAAATCACTGAGTTTTGCCTCTTGGGGCTCCGTTTTGGAGCCTTTTGGGGTCTCTTTCGGGCCTCTTGGCGCCTCTTGGGGCCTCTTGGAAGCCTCTTGGGGCGTCCTGGAGGCCTTTTGACGCGGAAAGCTCGGATTTCCGGTTCGTGGTCTCCATCTTGGGCCCCTCTTGGGCGCCTTTTAGGCTGTCTTGGGGCTCTCTTGGGCGGTCTTGGGGCTCTCTTGGGGGCCTCTTGGGCCGTCTTGGGGGCTTCTTTGGGGCTCTTGGGCCGTCTTGGAGCGTCGGAAAGGCGAAAAGGCGAGGAAGCCAAAAACCTTCAGGCACCGAATGAAAACCACTGAGTTTTGCCTCTTGGGGCTCTGTTTTGGAGCCGTTTGGGGTCTCGTTCGGGCCTCTTGGCGCCTCTTTGGGCCTCTTGGAGGCCTCTTGGGGCGTCCTGGAGGCCTTTTGATGCGTAAGGCTCGGGTTTTCGGTTCGAGGTATCCATCTTGGGCCCCTCCTGGGGCCCTCTTGGGCGCCTTTTAGGCTGTCTTGGGGCCCTCTTGGGAGGTCTTTGGGCTCTCTTGGGGGCCTCTTGGGCCGTCTTGGGGTGGTCTTGGGGGCCTCTTTGGGGCCCTCTTGGGCGCCTTTTAGGCTTTCTTGGGGCCCTCTTGGGCGGTCTTGGGGCTCTCTTGGGGGCCTCTTGGGCCGTCTTGGGGTGGTCTTGGGGGCCTCTTGGGCCGTCTTGGAGCGTCGGAAAGGCGAAAAGGCGAGGAAGCCAAAAACCTTCAAAAACCTAAGAAAATCACTGATTTTTGTATCTTGGGGCTCTCTTGGGAAGGGTCGGGGCTCTCTTGGGACGTCTTGGAGGCCTCTTGGGCCGTCTTGACGCCGTGTTGGGCGTCTTGGGCCGATCGTTCGGTGATTCGGAGCCCTCTTGGACCGTCTTGGGGGCCTCTTTTGGCCCTCTTGGCGCGCTCCGGGGGGCGTGGAAGGCCGCACCCAGGAGGGAAACCATCTCTGAGTAATAACTCCCGGGCTTCGGTCGGGGTACTTTTCGCCGGGGGACCCCCAGGGGCCGCCCCGCGCGCGCGAACTAGAATTATTGTTAACCAGTTACCCGAGATCTTAGCACGCCTCTGGCCCGTTGGGCCGGCGAATTACACTATAACTATATGCCTACACACATATATATATATAAACATGTAGATGACTGTGTGTGAAGTCTCAAAGCCACCCCAAGTTGGCCTCCGAAAGCGTCCACGATGTCCCAAGAGGCTCCATGTGGCCCCCAATAGTCTCCGCAAAGTATGGGCGATTTCGGGAACCCTCATTTCTTGGGGCCTCATTTTTTACTTCCGCCGCCTTCCGCCGAGCTTCCGTCGGCTTCCGCCAGCGGAGGCGGCCTCGTTTTACTCCCGCCGCCCTTCCGCCGCCTTCCGCCGCGGAAGAGATGACAACTCCTTCGATCCTCGAAGGCAAGGCCCCTTTTGGAACGCCCATATGCCCCCATGATGGCCACACGATGGCCCCCAGAGCCCTGACCCTCAGACGCCACCGAGACGGCGCAGCGCTGCTCCAACCCCTTGCCCCCGGCAGACGGCCCTGAGACTCTGCGGAGCGGCCCCGAAATCCTCGAACGGGGTCCAGCACGTTCCACCATTGCCGCTGTTGCCGACTGCGAAACTGAGGGGCAACCATTCAGGAGAGACAAAAGTACCACTATCGCCAGCCAGGGGGGGGGTGCTCCCTTCCCTCGACCTGGTGGCACATCCTTCGGGGAACTCTCTGCATGCATGCCCGGAACGAGGTGCCACCAGTTCTAGAAGGTGGGACAGTCACCACCCAAGCCGGTGATAGTGGTCTTCCTGTCTCTGGTGAACCCTCGGGGGAACCAGCTCAGTGCGGGAAGCGTCGAGCTCGAATCGGCGATACATCGCCGATGCATCGGCGAGAGGCCCCCGATGACACATGCGCACGACTCAGGGCGGGGTGGGCCATCGGGCCCCTGCCGGCGATGAACGGGCGATTGGGGGGCGATGTCTTCCCTCCTGGGCCTTTCCTACCCGATCGCTGCCCCTGAGAACCCCTGGGTCCTTCGATCGCCGTCGCCTTCCGCCAGACTTCAGCCCGCGGAACCGCCGCCGTCGTACTTCCGCCGGATTCGCCTGGCCATCCGTCGGAGGCGAGAGTGCACGGAAGGCGAGGCCCTTCCTGGGACTCGCCGTATCAGCCCAAGGTAGCCTCAAAAGCTGCCCCAAAATGGGACCTGGCGTCATTGACCACTGGATCACAGCACCGTGAGACCATGCCGCTGGGCGCTGGCGAAGGGATGAGGATGAGGAGGAGGAGGAGGAGGAGTATGAGGAGGAAGAGGAGGAGGACGAGGAGGACGAATGCCACAAGCATGCGCTTCAGTTTCGATCAAAGTCAAAAGGATGCTGATGATGATGATGATGATGATGATGATGATGCTGCTGCTGCTGCTGCTGCTGCTGCTGAGGAGGAGGAGGAGGAGGAGGAGGAGGAGGGAGAGGAGGAAGAGGAGAGAGGAGGAGGAGTGAGGAGGAGGAGGAGGAGGAGGAGGAGTCAAGCTAGCCAGCTCGAGCGAGTCAAGCATGGTATGCCCATTCCCACCCGCTCTCCCACAACATAAGAAACAGTGCTGGCGCGAGTGGGGACCGAAATCAGATCGGCAAGGTGGTTTGCCACAGCTGATGCAGCCGCGATGGCGGTTATCGATGGGAAATTCCTGACGCGTCTCGAAGACTGCGCTGGCATTTCAGCACGAGCCGAGGAGGCCCCAGGGAGCATCCCGAGGCCCCAGGAGGCCTCAGGAGGCCCCAGGAGGTTGCAGGAAGCTCCAGCGAACCCCAGGAAGCCCCAGGAGGCTTCAGGAGGGCCCAGTAAGCCCCAGGAGGTTCCAGGAGGCTCCAGGAAGCCCCAGGAGGCGTCAGGACCCCCCAGGGAATCCCAGGAATCCCCAGGATGCCTGAGAAGCCCCAGGATGATCCACGAGGCCCTGGGGAAGCCCCGGGAAGCCCCAGGATGTTCCAGGAGACCCTGGGAAGCCCAAGGGGGCCCTAGGCGCTCTACGACTTGACGAGCAAAAACTGTGCGCCGCGCCTTAGCGGGAGCGCAACATTCAGAAAACATGCGCGCGGCGCCGAAGCGGGAGCGACATGCGATGTGCA